GTGTGTGTGTGTGTGTGTGTGTGTGTGTGTGTGTGTGTGTGTGTGTGCAGGATGAGGAGTATTTCCAGGGTAACAGAGTTCCATGCGGGTGCACAGCAGCTGACGGGACTCCTCTCCGTATCATCAGCATCAAACCGTCCACCATGTGGTTTGGAGAAAGGACCAAGAAAACCAACGTAATAATAAAGTAAGGAAAAAGGAACCCACTCATGTTTTGTGAACAGTTTAGCATAAATCAGTTCAGAAGAGCTAAATGTTTTTTTTTTTTTTTTCTGGTTTTCCAGGACAGGAGCCAGTTCATACAGAGCCTGCTTCAGCTTCCACTCCTCCTACTGCGAGGTAATGTCTGAACTTAGATTGCTACTCTCAGTTTATGTAACGACTTGTGTGGTGTTTAGAACGTTGAAGGCCTCTTTAAGGGACAGTGAGCTCCCCATAGCAGCAGCAGAGAGACCAGTGCTGGTTGGACTGGCAACTGACTGAAAGTGCATGTTTCTCATTTGATTTTTTTGCCTTTATGAAACATGTTTCTGTCATACTTGGACTTATCCCACATTCAATACACCTCAATTTTCTTTTAACTTCCAGATCAAAGACTTCCTGTCGTATCTTCAGCCGGTGAACATCTACCCCAGCGTCATCCCCATCGGCCGCACTCTGACTGAAGTCACACAGATGTGAGCAAGTGAACGAGCTCGGGGCATTTAGTAAGAACCCCCAGAGCCTAAATGTTTGGAGTAAACCAAACTGTGACCTGCAGGTTGAGGCTGATGTGCAGGAACCAGTCCGACCGGTCAGCATTCGTTTACAAACCTCTGGGGGTCCTCAAACGCAGCAGGGTGCAGCAGCCCACCTACGGTAACGCATTCAGAACTCACACTGCTGAAAACACTTTTAAATGCTCTGCTGATCCTGTCTCCTGAGCAGCCGTGTGTGTGTGTGCGGGGGGTTTGGCCTCTGTCTGAGAAATGTCTGTTTCTGCTCAGGCTCACAGAGTGACGATGAGCTGTTTGACGGTTTGGAACTGGTGCCGGTGAGGAAAAAGATGGGCCCCAACCAGGATGCAAAAAGTGGTGTGTTACATATGTTTGTTCTGTGCTGCATCAGGATGTTTATTTACGTGTGAAGGTTTAGAAGTGTCCCCGTCTCCTGCCGGCTTTAAAACGGCTGATCAGTAATTGTGTTTGTTGGTTTTAGGTAATGTTCCTGACCCTGCAGCTCCTCCCCCCTGCGAGTCCTCACCTCTGATGGCGTCCGACGTGCAGTCTGCCGCACAAAACTACTTTGACTGCACAGAGTCTAATGGTGAGGAGGAGGAGGAGGATGCAGATGAGGAGGGAAAAGGAGAGCAGGGAGACAAGGACTCTCAGACGTGTCCTGCTCAGGCTCCTAAATGGGAGGACTTCTTCACCACGGAGACTCTGACTGACAGCCAGAACAGCCAATCACGGTCCTGCTGCTCTGCCTCCAGAGCCAGCGGCTCTCAGACCCCCGAGCTGTTCAGTGATGAAGAGGAGGCTGCAGACCGGGCCGGCTTCAGCCTGGCCCTGTCCGCCTCTTCCTCCAGCCACTCCTCACAGAACGTGGACTCCAACGTAGCCGACACCCTGATCCTGCAGCCGGGCGGGGGGGCGTCTCAGGAGTCCTCTGACTTTGAGGTCGCCTGCACCCCAGAATCCACAGAACCGCAGCCTGAGGAGCTGCTGCTGCTGTACCGGAAACTGGCCTCAGGAGAGGACGTGATCACCAGGAAAGGAAGCCAAGGCTCATCATGACCAACGGAAAGAACAGAACAGAAATCATTCCTTGAGTTTAAAAGAAAAACCTGCAGCTCCAGACCCTCACAGTAGAGACAGACGTGGTTATTTGAGCCGTGTGCTATACCTGCAGCTGGGAGGGTTTTCTGGAGCTTTCTGTGCAACATTAGTCAGGGAGTGAGAGGACAGGTGGATGAAAGGTTCCACACTGCTGCTGTTTGAGAGGAGCTGTAACCAGAGTGGTGGTGTGTGGAGTTCCAGACAAAGCAGAAGCCATACGTGATGCACCTGTGCAAGTGCTCCTCTACTGCTGGCAGTTGGTGGTTTTGGTTGCACGTCCTCATTGTAAAAGTGGATTAACTGATCTTCTGTGTGGAAGGAAATGGAGGTGTTAAACACTTGATTTAAAAAAAGCACATTATTGCAGTTGAAATTTCAGATAAAAGGAACCACTGTTTGTCCTAAACTTTAGAAGGTCAAAAAGGTCTTAATTAGCTCCAGTAATTAAGTGTCTGTCGACATGAAAGTAAAGATCTCATTCATCTATATTTATTCATGTGGATTTCATTACAACGAATGGGGAAAGCACTCACATCAGCAGCTTATCTTCACTTGGGGAACAGAGAGGAATTTCTACAGACAAATGACCTGCAACTCCTTTAAAAAACGGCATGACAGACAACACACTGTACATGAGCAAGAGGACAAAAAAAGCAGCCCAGTCGTTCCCTCTGAGAACACAAACACCTCAATTACAGGCAGGAAACATTGACTTCCAGGTTAGAATGGATGGGTTTAATAAGTGGAAATAACCTCTGAGCTTTTCATGAGCACTGGGCCTCCGCCAACAAGAATAAAAACCGGCTCCAGCAAACACCTCAGACTCTACAAGATGGTGTAAAATCAGATGCACCAGAAATCCAATCCTTCAGAAATTCACAACATTACGACCACCACGGGCCTGGTGAAAAACACCTGGTCTAAAGACGGACCAATATAAAAGATGCAATTGTTCTGTAATTCAAACTAAACAGCCCTTTTATAGATTACTGTCATCACAGTGGCTGCACAGGGGGGTGTAATTCTAACTTCTGAGCACAGGGGGGTGCTGTTGCCACATTTCACAGAGCACAAACACTGGATTTAAACAGCTCAGAGGTAAACTGACAGGCAAAGGAGGAATAAGACCAGTTTCTAGGTGGGCTGAATAAAGAAAAACTAAAAACACTTTTCCATTTACTTCCTCACACACTGGCCCATCACAGCAGACTTCTGGAAAATGACAAAATAACCAACAGAACGTGACAATATAGGAATGATTACAAATGGTCACCGATAAATAAAACAAACATCCCACGATACAGCTCCATCGTAGACAGACCTTCTTTGACAAAGGTTCCTCCTCAGAACAAGCGTTTTGAAAAGGGAACAACTGACATTGCTAAAATTAAAAGACAGATTTAAGATTATACATGGCCATAACTCACTTTCTGGGACCAACCCTCCCTCATTCATCTCAGATAGACTGACTGTGGTCCTCACTGTAGAACTGGGCGCTGCTAAGGCTTTGGGATGTTCGCTAAAAAAGTTCTGAAATCGGACCGAAAATAAAGTTTTCTGCTAAACTCACCGGTTTCAGCTCCCATGGAGGGCTGACAGAAACCCCCTCAGCTTTACAGAGCGCTTACACGTTTGCTGTAATATCTGCTCCAAACCTAAACCAGCCTGAACTCATCAAACTAATTAGCCACACGGGTACGGAAGCCCATCCAGGACAAAAGAGGCACACAATTGAAAACCGCTTTCAGATTATAGAAAGAATAGAAAAAACATGAAACCCCTCTGAGTCATAGAAATAATAAGACTACGATGAAAAATTAAGATCATATGAACATTCAAATCCATTTTGGAAAAAGTTTTTTAAAAGTTAAAAAAAAGTCACAGATGCATCAACGCTGCAGCGGAAAAAATGTAAAAGAAAAATTCTATTCAATTACAGGAACAGGTTGAGATTAATTTAAGAGTGTCCTTCAAACTGAACAGACCCCTCACAGAAGTCTTCTGTGATGATTAAACAAGTAAAAACACAGTTTGTCAGGGACTTTTCCTTTTTAAAACATTTAAACAGGAGTTCCTGTTGCTTCAGGTCAAAGTCAACAAAGCCGTGACCAGACTAGAGGGAGTCAGTGGGAATGGAGCGCCTCAACCTGCAGGTTCATCACAGGATTCTATGGAGAAATCCCAGATCTCTCAACCGTATACCAGTTTAAAAACCAGGGAAATACTTAGCAATAAAAAGCTCTGACATGGGGAAGATGTAGTTTGTTTCCCTTAGGCAGAATTCTAACTCTATCCCTGTTTCCTGATCTAAACCAAACCCTAATGCACACCCTCATTTCTTTGCACTTTCCTTCAAAGCAGGCAGACGTGTCTTTATCTTTTAAAGCGTGCTGCGTAAATATTCACTTTAAGCTCCTAGGAACTCAATTATCTCACCTCTAATTCTTCTCACCTTTTAGAATGTCCTTACTTTGATGTTTAGACACGTGTCACCAAATTGCTGCAACCGTTTCCCTGGAAACCTCCACAGAAACGAGGGTCTGAAGTTTGCTGCTGTACACTGGGGGGACGTCAGCCTCAACCCCCAAGGCAGCACAAACTTAGACCAAAATAAAGTGTCATCATGTTCCGTTTTGGGATAAAATCCTCCCGTGAGGTTTGGAACTAAAGTTCCCATAATGAAGGCGCTTTGGGGATGGAGGCAAAAATTCTAATCTTGCCGTGGAATTCCCAAAAACCAGATAAATGTCTTGGAGTCCCAGTGGTCTCTGGGGGGTGACGGTCAGAGCCCTGCTATTTTCGGCCTGCTTTTGTTTACATGCTCACACTGGCCCCGGCCGGCCCACTGGCCTCTGACACTTCCTGTGAGCTGCTGTCACCAGCTCTCTGACCGTTTGCAGCTCCTTTATGTCTTGTTACATTCTTTTGTTTTTCATTTTAAGAACACATAGCAAAGCCATAAGCATCTTTTTCTTTCTTTCGTAGAAGGCACGTTAGAATTAGCTTTATCTTCTGAAGAGTTTCAGTGGGGGGGTTAGCGTGTGCTGCCAGCTCCGGCCTCTGGGGCCTCAGGGGAAATAAAAAAAAGATTGTAGACTTGATAATAATGCGATGCCCTCACAGATAACCCTCCTGTGGGGGTTCCTGGGCTGAAGGGGCAGAGAATGAGCAGGGAGCCCGTTTTCCCTCCTGTAACCCCCCCTCCCTGAACACGGCGTTGTTCACATAAAGTGTTATTTGTGCTCCTTCATCACAGAAAACGACAGTCAGCACTGCTTGTAATAAATCTCCCACGCACACTGAACGTCTCAGAGGAAAAACAGGAATCCTGAGCTTTTTCCTCCCACCACCAGCTCCCTGAAGCTCACATCCACACCCGGGGAGCACGGAGCACAGAGTTTTATTTCTAGGGCGGCCTGTCATTACTTTCCTGACTTATTTTCCATGTTCTTTATCCTGAATTTTGCTCTGGTGTTTCATATGATGCTTTCTTTTTTTTTTTTTTTTACAAATCCATAACAGCTGATCAGTAGTTTCTTGTATCGAGATGATGTCATTTCAAAACTGATGTTAGGACTTCAAAAGGAAATTGGGAGGAGGTCAGGCCCGGTCACCCCTGCATTTGCTGCCCGTCTGTGCCGTTTAACAAACCAGAGAGAACCTGTTTCCTTTGTTTAAAAGTTGTTTGGCATTCTGACAGAAATCCTCTCATGTGAATAATCTTCTCCCCCGCCTCAGCAGGGCTGCTGTGCAGCAGAGGACTGATCAGGGAAATATTCTGCTGACCAGTGCCCGGCCCCCTGGTCAGTTCGCTGGTGGTCGTTTCTCCCTGAGAAGCGGCAAAAGTCGTCTGTGCCATATTCCAGACTTCAAGAAGAAAGAACTATTAAATTGGAAACGTGCAGCTTGATTAGACCCCTTCAGTGTTTCAGAGTCCCTCGATGTGGTCAGAGAGCAGTGCGGGTTGGTTAATGGTGCCCATGAAATGTCCAACTTACAAACTCAGAGAGCATCAGGAGAGTTCTTCCTGTTCTGAGGTGCGGCTGTCAAACCCGGCTGCTGTCAGCTGGAGCTAAGCTGGGATAAGGAATCTGCTTATGTTATTACTCAGATTATTAAACCAATGTGCCTGAAAGAACAGGAAGAACAATAAGACGGTTACCACTGGAGAGGTTTCTTTTTCCAACCTTTACAAAACCTACACAAAGACCCAAATCTTCAAAGAGCATCTCCTATCCTAACTCTTACCCCTCCTCTTTCTGTACACCCCTCTCTTTCTTTGCTGTCACCACTGATTCAGAACTTAGGATAACTGTAACATTGTCTATTTTGTAAGTCGCTTTAGACAAAAGCGCTAAATGTGGAAACATAAACATATATGTGCATATTTAAAATAATGTCATTTTCCCTGAAATATATGGTTATAAAATTTAACGAAAGCTCCTAAAAAATACTAAACAATTCTGTTAGATCTACAATTAACTGTCTTTCAAAACATTATTTTCTATAAATAAACTGTCAAATGTTTGTTCAGACAGTGTGAAGGCTCAACTAATACTGGCAGATTAACTGGCCATCTTGCCACTGGCCATCCGAGTATCGATAACTTACAGATAACAGAATACAAAATCAGTCAATCTTCCCCAGTACGCAGGCTGTTAGTAAAGAGGTCTACTCGCTTTGAGACAGGATATCATGGCTTTGGCTACCTAGGCACTAAAAAAAAAAAAAATGGTACCAACTGCCCTTCTGCAAAAAGCTCGTGCCTCTGCTGTTAGTAGCTGCTCTACTGTCGTTAGTCCCTCAAAACGGGGTTCAAATCAAACTACGTGTGGATGGAAACTAAAACAGATGGAATCAAAAGGGAATTTGGCTACAATACAGCTCATTTTCCGAGCTGTGCTTTTCCCACATGGACATGCCGGAATGTGAGAAAGGCGTGGTCACCGGTCTGGGCGGAGGGGACGGCTGAGGCCATCAGCTTGTCCGGCTTTGAGGATCCCAACTGTTCTGCGTTCCCGTAAAGTCCACCTGCCAGGGGCTGGTAGAGCTGAGCCCCGGTCTGCTCCAGCCCCCGCACACACCTCTGAGTTTTCTCTCCCTCCAGAGCCTCAGGAGCAGATCAGGCTTTTCTGTTCTGGTCCAGGCTGCTGCCTCAGGTCAGCATTAGTCTACCAGCAGTCGCAGCAGCGGCACCGAGCTGACCGCCAGAGCCAGGCCCCCCCGTGTCCAGCGGGGCGTGGCGGCGCGGGCCTCCAGGTGGGAGGTGTAGTTGCAGGTGGGGCTGGGGTGGGCCTGGGTGAGGTTGGCCTTAGTGGACTTGGCTCTGGTGGCGGCCCGCGTGGGCTTGGCGGGGCCGGCGCCGGTCGTCCTCAGGACGCGCCGTAGGGAAAAGTCGTGCTGGACGGCCGAGTAGTGGTCCGGACCGTACGGGATGCTGAGGGTCTCCGTCAGAACCTCGTGACCCGGGTACATCACCTGTCAATCACAGAGATGCCAGTGAGAGAAACCCAGCAGATCACATTCATCATCCATGACAGGTGCACGTGTGGGTTTTCTGTCTCTAATATATTTCTGGATCTAAAGCAGTTTCTGTTTGGTGTGTTTACAGTGAAGGTGTAGTCCCCAGGCAGCAGCAGTCTGTAGTACTCTCCGTGTCGGTTGGTTCTGAAAGGACACAGATTACTGCGACCTTTGACCTCCACCACCGCATTCTGCACGGGCACGCCCGATCCGTCCATTACGAGACCCTTAGCCCCTGAACACAAACAGACACAGATGTAACGGCCCCGCCACGACCCGGCCCGGGGGGCAGAGGCGGGGGGGGGGCAACGCCGGCTCACCGAGGTGGACCTGCTGGATGAAGGCCAGCAGGGCCTTCCTGTTGTCCACCCACCGGGCCGACAGCTCTCTGGCTGGAGGAAACTTGCAGCAAGACAGTTCCAGAGTCAGCTCCAAACACTGGGCCCACACATAGTTGTAGTCCTGCATCCCACCTAAAAAATAAATCAATAAACACGCCCACATCATTAATAAAATACTTCTGTCCAGTCTCAGAAAACACACACGTCAAAACTCAACACAAGTCAAGTGAACAGAGTAAGATAAAAAAATAAAAATAAATAAAAGGGTCAAAGTGTTTCTTTTCACCTGTTCCATGTTAATAACAATGAGCCATTCATTTGCTAATTTAATATTCAACAGTTTTCATGTTGCCAACCCAAAGATTGACCTATTTTGAATCCTGCATCTGTGGTTTCTTCAGATGTATTCAGGTTGCATTGATTCACTTTCTGTAGTGGGAAACCAGAAAAAGCGAGCATACATGGCTCCTTTATCTTTATTCTTTACAATAAAATGAACCATTTAGTTCATATTCCATCTCTCCGTGTCAAAACCCACTTTGGTTGTGCTGCATAACAAGTGGCCATCTGTCACACTTCCTCTCGTTAACCAACAAATATATTTTGAATAAACTAAATGGGACTGGGGGATGCTGACCTTGCAGAGGGTACCACTGGTGTCCGTTGGTGATGCCGTCCAGGAAGGGCCTGCTTTCCTCACAGCGGTTGCCCTGGTGCATCGTGGCGTGGTTGTGGGAGTACACCTTAGCCAGGTGGACAAAGACGTCGTCGTCAGGGGTGATGCTGGCCCGGCCAAACAGCTCCGTGCCTGTGGACACAAGCGTGGGAAAACTTATTTGCACAGGCTCGTTTTCTCTCCAGCATCCCCCTCATGTTATGACTAATGCGCCCGTTTGTTGTTCTCCACCCGTCTCACTGCCGTCAGAGGGCTGCCAGCAGAGGGCGCCGTACCACTGACCGACTAAAAACATCCATAAACGTGTGAAGTGTCCTGGAATCTGCTCGTCCACATCAGATCAGTTCTGTTCAACGCCGTCATAAAGCCGAGTCCATGTTTCTGGTTTGTCACCATTGCTATCACAGTTCTTCCACAGCACAGAAAAACATCACGTGTACCGCTGGATTGTGAACCACCACGTTCTTCCTGTGCTTTGAGCACGTTGTAGTAAAATAAGTGCATGTGCAGGTGCTGGTTTACCTCGATTGCTGTTGTCATAGGGGTAACTGGCCACCAGAGCCCCGCCGTGAAGGTTGGCAGAGAGAACAAAAGTCTCTGTCCTCAACCAGCCAATCACAGCTCTCACCTGGAAAACATCAAACCGCATCATCTGCTTATAAAGCACCATCATACTTTAGACAGATAGAGCTGGTTTGACTGAATTGGAATATTTATAACACAACATGACATAGGAACTTTTTTAATCCCAACCCAGTAGAACAGATGGAGTTTGGAGCAAAAAGGTGAAACAAAACTGAGTTTTCATGATGGTGAAAGAGCATTTCCTTTCCTTTTTCCTTTTCTGCTTGGGATTGTTTGTTAGTCACTGTGGGAGGGTGTTATTTTTTCCTCAGCTGTCGGGCAGAAGAGGTGAAGCAGAGGAACAAAGCTTTCATCTCCTGGCCAGCCACCGCCGTATCATTAGGCAGCACGCTGAGACACCCAAACACCGATTAAGGCTCCACTAATCACCACTGTCACGCTTAGAGACAAAACTATTCTTATTTTCAAGTGATTCAAACCAGTCATTTTGGTCCCAGGTTATCATAGGTTTGTTGGTCTAGAAAAAAAATTCTCTGTACATCAGAATGTGAATATAATTGACTGGAACATGATTGTACGTCACTGAATTAGATTCTAATCAGTTTGAATTTGAATTGGAGGACTGAATTGAGTCATTTAAGGTTAAAGGCCACATGACTTACCTCAGCCTCCCTCTTCTCCTCTTTCAGAGGCTGATGCTGACGGAGACCAGAGAAAGCGTCCGGAAAATTCCTGTTCAGATCGATGCCGTTGTAATTGAACCTAAAAGAGACAGAGAACAGAAAGGGGTCGTCTCTTAGTCGTGATGGCTTAGCAGTGATGGGTTATTTCTGACTGTATACGAGTCAGACCACCTTAGGGGTCCATGTGACCTCAGACCCATGAGCAGATGACATAATGAAAGTGACCTCACTTCTGACATGTGTACGTCTTTTTCATAACCGCATTAAAAACTAATCTTAATGGTCCTACTACTTCTGTGGGGTGGGGTGGGAGTGGGTTTAGAGGGTCAATTTTAGTCTGTCTTCATCAATCGTAATAAAAAATGAGCAGCTGACAAAAGATGGCAAAGTACACTGAACATCTCATCTGGTTCGTTTTCAGCTGCTGGACTGAGACATTTCCTTATTTGGGGTGGAAAGAGATGGCGCACACCACAGTCGATTTAACCCAAATCTAAACCCTGCTGCTGAGCGGCGTCTCCAAAATGGGACCATGTGAACAGACTGCCACCACGTCTTTGTGACAAACACTGGGACGCACACACACACACACACACCCACACAGTTTGCTGTAATTGGTGTGGCAGCACAAGCCATAACACGCATAATTGGACACTTACATGCTGTAAGTGTGTTTACAATCTGTATGATATGGATCTAAAATGGATGTGTGGCTTTCTGCTAATCAGAGTGTTTTGCGCATTGGAGCGTAGAACAGTTTAGTCTTTGCATAACAAAAACAGTGTCTGCACACACACACCCACACCCACACACACGTGTGTTTTGGTCTTTTAGGGGTGAATGCAGAAACTTTAAAGAAATCGGAACATTTCTTATTCAGCTTCAACCTCTCGGATCAGTACTTTTATTTCAACAACAGATCACATGACTGGACATGAGGAGCAGTCTTCATCCCCCATGGAGATTCAACTGTATAAGGGAATTAACTTACTGCTTTCACTCAAATCAAATATTTTTCGTTATTCAGAAGAGGAAAACTTGTTGATTAGTTAAAAAACTAAGTACTGAGCAGTCTGACTAACTCTGAAAACTCTGAAAAATTAACATCTTAGAGACCCAAATTAAACGACACAAGGTAAATGTTGCAGTGAGTGGGATGTGTGAAATGAGACTTTACGTCTAACTGAGCATCGTGGACAGGCCCCGGCTAACTGACAGTTAATCGCCAGGAAATGGGAGGACATTGCTTTTAGTAACAAAATCCTGAAGTATTTCAGGAAGGCGCTTAGTGCAAAGCTAAAAAAATAAAATAAAATCAACTCGTGCCAGACGATGTCTCTGATGTGCCCAGCTGGGCCGCTGTACCAAACTTCTTCCCCCCCACTCCCCAGACCCGGATGGTTGTAAATGGACAGCCAAAAACAAGCCTCCTCCTCCACAAACAGATATGTGCCGCCCGCCACAGAACTCTGGATCTCCATCGGATGGCCCGGACACCTCCCACAGCGACAGGCTAAAAGGGAAGCCAACGCCTGGACCTTGGCCTCTAAGGGCTGTGAAAGATGTCAGGTAAGTGAGTGGGAAATGTACAAAAACACGACTTTTCCATGGATCAGGTGTCGGATGTGAAAGGCAACATTTTGCCCATTCTGGCTGCACATTCGACTCTAATAAGTCTCGTATTGCACGTCTGCTTAAAGAATATTGTGGAAACAAATGGCTGTCAGGTCTGTGCACAACATGCTGCTTCAATTTCCGCAGATGGCGTCTGCCTCAACAGATCTGGGGGAAGGCTGTTTGCAGCTAATCTTTTCTGTTCTGAATTATCATTCTACTCTGTCGGACGAGGACAAAAAGAAGCGAAGTCGAGAGGATAAGATAAAGACGGGCTGTAACCTTGAGACGGGGCCACGCCACCCCCCTCTGAGAGGACATCATCCTGTACTATCAGCGAGTTGTGTGTGTGCTCGTGGCTCTTTCCGGGATAAACGGGGGCATGACATGGAAGTAGCTACCTTCGTTCGTGTTTTTTTTAATGTGTAGCAGACAAAGATTACTGACCCTTCAGAGCCTAAAACATTATGTAGGTTTATCAAATCTTGTGTTAGCTGCTCATTGGCCACAGCCAGCCCATAATAACAACAGGACTGACTGAACTACTAACACACCCATCATTCAAAATCCTGTCGCCGCAACCATGAGACCTAAAAAAGCAGAACCAGCCATCACGCCGAGATCACTGACAGAAGAAGAGAAATAAAAAGGGCAATCTCCTTTCGGCAGCTTTCTGCTAAAATCCAGGGTTTGAGTTTGTTTGTTGGATTTGGAACACAATGGGGAGCACAGCCACTAGAGCTTCTTTAACCTGGCTGTTTATACGGACTATGGGAGTAATGAAAGAAAATGGCTTGGTCTCGTGAATACCGTGGGGGCTTTGTGCTATTCAGCAGGTTAATGGGACAATAAAAATGGTAGAGCGAAAGACATTTATCACCTCATGTGCAACCGACTTTAGTTGAGGTGCAAATGAGGCCATTCAAACTGAAACATGTGCCGGGACGCCAAAGCCAAGAGGCAAAAAGGTGATCTGTGGTGCAGTGAAACTTTAAGAAGCTGATCAGTGGGTCTTTGTCCTCACCTGCCTGTGCCGTGCTGGCATTGGGTGCTTGCCTCGTCGAAGCCATCCGGGTTCATGGTGGGCAGGATGTGAATGCGAGTGCTGCTCAGCAACTGGACGGCCCAGGTTTCATTGCTGCGGTAGCCTCGCACCAGGTCGTCCACTAGCTGAAGCAGCAGCTCCCGGCCGAGGACCTGAACACACAGCAGACACAGACTGACTGGACCCATGTTCAGGAGGGAAAAAGGAGACGTTAAAGCTGCTGAGAAATCTAATAAAATGTGGAAAGCGCTTCGTTTCTGCTCAGTTTAAGGCTTTTAAACATTTATCTGCACAGACATCCGATTTGCTTTTCTGATTGACAAGACTGCATGTCCCCTCATGATGTGGAAATTATGTGGGAGGAAGTGATGTTGAGTCAGGGAGGAATTGAATAACAACCCAGGGAAGGGTCGGAGGCTGGATTTCCTGGGAAGGTCGCCTCATTGGACACTGGGGAGTGGATTAAAAAAAGAAAAGAACTTTGTGACTGAATGTGAGCTTCAGGACAGTGAATGGGAGAAGGGTGGGAAGGTGTGTGTACAATGCTGCTACACACACAAGTCAGGGCTGGCTCTGCCTCCAGCCTTCGTTCCTCTCTCCTTCATCACTCGTCAAAAGTCTTTTCTCTCTGCTGCTGTCAAGAGTGAACACACCTATTTATGCTTTAAACTTCAGGAGTGAGTCTGGTGATATTCTGCAGTTCTGTCATGAACAAAAGACTTTGAACTCATCCCACCAAGAAAGGCTTCAATGGATATTTGTCAGTCTCACAAAGGAACGCTGTGGCCTGAGAATGCAGCAGGGACACACCCTTTTGCCATCACACTACTCAAAGTTTATACTATTTCATGTCAATATTCACTTATTTCAAACCTGACCTTTTTCCGGTGAAACGCGTCCGGAACAGCTCACCAGGGAGGCGACCAGGAGGCATCCTGATCAGAGGCCTGAGCCACCTCAACTGGCTCCTCTCCACGTGGAGGAGCAGCGGCTTTACTCTGAGCCCCTCCGGATGGCCGAGCTTCTTACCCTGTCTCTAAGGGACCCTGCGGAGGAAACTCATTTCGGTCGCTTGTATCCGCGATATCGTTCTTTCGGCACTACCAAAGTTGGTGATCATAGATGAGTGTGGGAACGCAGATGGAAAGCTTCGCTCTCTCTTCATCACGACAGGCCGGTACAGCGCCCTTAGTTGACAGAATGGGCGATACACTAACATTTAGCGATGTCACATAATAACCAACTCTGTTCTATTGTTTAGATCTCGACTCATTTAGTTCCGGCTCTCGCAAATGCATTCAAATCACACGTTTCCATCTGTCCGGTTCATGTGTCATCAGCTCTCCAGCAAGCAGAGACAATCAGCAAGCCAAGTCCTGTTTCTCTTCCTGTGCATTAGCGGCTTTAAGCTCAGACTCGATGTTGCAGGGAGCTGAAGGAGGGCCTCACTTAAAATGTCCTCTGAGATAACAGTGAAAGCCAGAGGAGCCAGTGTTTGCTGTGAAGACACAGGAAAATCTCTGCTGCCTACTCATCCAGACAACATCCTTCTCTTAAGAAAAACATTCCTAGTGTGGAAATGGAGATGTGGATGTCAGTTTGACACATTCTCATACCAATTTTCAAAGGTCAATACTCAATATTTAAATAAAGAAACCCTAATCCATCACAACAAGTTTTTCCAGGTAAGCATTAGTTGTTTGGCTGAATCTGACCTGTAATGTTCATGTGCTTTTAAGCGTATCCTTATATTATATTAGATAATATTTTATTATAGATGCATTTGAGTTTAGTCAACTACAGCCCCCAAAAGTATATTAGTACCGTAGGTGAATTTTTCAGATTCTAAAACTTGAAAAATTTCTCATGTAAAAAAATATTTGAAAGATCGGCATTTGGACCCATGCAGGATTATTGGTCTAAACAGAGTCTTAGAGAAGCTGTTATGACAAGAGCAGTCTAATGTTTTTTCTCTTTAGTATCTAAACAGCAAACCAACGTTTGTTGTACTCATTTCTTTAAATTCTCTTACATTTATGAACATTGTCCTTCAGTCTAACGTCAACACTGTAAAAATAGAGTGGCGGCTGAGCAAACATGTTCAAAAGCTGCATACATCCACAGATGTGAAAACAAAAAGGCTTCCGCGTGATTGCGGTCAAAATTCTGAGTCGTATCTCAAAGGTATTTTTAGATTTCCCATTATTGAAGCGGAAGATGTTATTTTTCCAACAAAAGCAGCCTTGATTCCTACCTCTGAATCACATTCTGCTCAAACATCCTTGGACCTCACCCATCCTGAGGCTCTGATTGTCTGTGGATGGACAGCAGATGTTTGCTTCCTGTGTTACAGGCTTTGTTTGACAACGCCTTCCACACTGGAGACAGAGTTGTTCACAGTGGACATGAGATGAGAATGTGAGCCCCTCAAGTGGACAAAGTAAAAGACGGACAACATTTCCGAATCAAATCTAAAGGTGAAAGCAAAACGATGATTGTGACATCTTGAACTTGCTCAATAGGTCTAGAAATTCTATATCAAGGCCATGCTTTATTGACTGGGGGCAACTATACCGAGTACGGGCAAATGGAAAGTCACCAGCAGCCTTCCAATCAGGTAACCGAGGGCAATATGATGGATTCACTTGTTTTCAGGCAATTCAGACTGTGTTAGTTCTCTAAATTACCGTTGTGCATGAGTCCGTCTAACATCGCTATCAGACAGGTCCTCAGGTTCTGTGGCATCTGTTTAGCTTCTCTTCAGTGGCTCCTTTTTAAATTCAGAATAGAATATAAAGTTCTGCTCCTCACATATAAATGACTTAACCTCATCATATCATGAGGATCTCACATTTTTAAACTTCAGGTTGTCCCCTCTTCCCCGTCGTCTCAACCCCCAGCTGGTTGAGGCAGATGGTCGTACTTCCATAATCTTATCAAATTAAATACATTTCTGCAGAATCAGCCACCAAAATTCTCCCCTATGGTTCCCAACTTATTTGACGCCAATGTCAATTGAATTTAAAACAACCATAAATATTCCTGATGCTAGCGTTAGCAATAAAAAGCCATGCTTACTGGCCAAAGATCTTTACATAACTGAAACACTAGCATCTATAGAAGAGCAGTCCAATAATCATTACTTGTTCAACATTACTAGCTGGTTTACAACTTTTAGACTGAATTTTGGGGATTCGACATTTGCAGAGTTAAACAACATTCCTAAAAAAGAACGTGAAGCTACAAAAGAATTAGGTGGTATAAACAGAAAGGTTTGAAAAGAGTTAGAAAGGAGCTGAGAGTAAGGCCTGCTCGCTGAAGCATTTAATACCTAGGTACGCACACAAAGTCAGAAAAGGTAGACGGAACAAAAATATGACAGAAACAAGTGAAAAGCTAGAGACCTTGTAATCAGACTCCCTGCCCATCAGCTGCTGTCACCACCAAAACTAAATGACACTTTATTCAGACATACATGAGGTGATTCATTCTGCTTGTTGGACAGGAAATAAACTCCAATCGCATAAAAAGTTATGCGCTGCTAAGTGATCACAGAGACGCGCACAACAGACAAACCCTACACGACATCTTTTCAACTTCTCCATTAGGCATTCTTGCCATCATAAAGCGTGTGCAATCAGATAAAAGAACTTTTTCCAGACGCTGCCTTGGAAGCGTCACACTCCACCGACTCAGTGTGTGAGAGTGTGTGTGTGTTCGGGCGTGACTTGTCTCTGTAAGGACATTTCCATCAACTGTCACACACATGCAGCGCGATCAACCGTCCACTGCAACCATGGAAACCAGATGCTGGTCAGGGGTCAAGAGTTTCCACAACTTTGCTTTTAATCAAAATTTTACAACTTTTCAGCAGTAGAGAAAAAAGATGACAAATCAGAAGGCTTTTTTTTTTCAAAACATCTTGTGGTTTTGCATCAAATGCTTCCCATAAGGACATTTAGTTTGTTATAATGAGCTGGAGGTGCACAATGCAAAAAACTATTGAGCTAGTCAGTGACATTATTGCCTGTGCAGCAAAAAATAAAGTGGTACATAATAAGCAAAGATATAAAAAAATATTGTAATTGAAATAGGTTTTAATTTCTTTAGCTCGTCAACTTCATTTTCCCGTGACACCTGGAATGTTTGTTAAAGTCATAGTTGCTGTCTACTACCATGTAGTAACTTTCCACACATCAGGCATGTTGCTATGGTCAAGTGATTCAGATTCCTGTCACAATGGGATTTTAGTCAAATAAGACATCAAAAATGGTACATTTTTTACTAAATATAAATTTTCAAAGACAAACACATTTGCTAAATCTCTCGTCTTCCAAAGCGTTCCCTGGATTTTCAAACATTAACCACTCAGTATGCCTTTAACTTCCAGTAAGAGTTAGCTATTAAACTTTTTTTAGCTCTTTGGTGAAATCTTACAGGGAAATAAAGTTTCACTCATCGACTCCTTCTTGCGGTTTTCTCTGAATTATTATCCGCACCCTTTTTTATAAGGTTTTAATGTTGACCGAGTGTTCTGTCCGTTTTATGGGAGAAGAATGCAGCCCACCTCACAGTCTGCCGTCTGCACACAAAAGAGCGTGTGGACTGTGTCTGACTCTGAATGGATTTGTGGATCTCTTTAGTCTCCCTTTAGTCCCGCTTCCTGTTAACAGGGAGGGGTTCTGTTGTTGGTGTGTTTGGGTGTGTGTGTGTGTGTGTGTGTTTTACCTCGTTTCCATGCATGTTCCCCACATATTTGAACTCTGGGATCCCGACGGTGTGACGGTGAGGGCTGACACTGAGGGCCAACACCCACAGCTGCTGTCCTGAGAGACACAGAGGATCAAACTTTTAGACAGGACCGGTCAAATCACATCTCAAACTCTTTCTCTTCTGTGATGAAGCTTTTTTTTTTTTATCCTGAGACATCAACCACAATAACAAAGTTTTTAAAAAAGTTTTAAAAACAGGGAAGCAATAATTCCTGCCTTTCAGTCTGAAGGGTTATAAGACCATTTCCAAGGTATTTGGACTCCATGATTCTACAGAGAGAGATTCTTATCGAGTGGAAAACATTCAGATCATCTGTCAGCTTAGAGCCATTTTGACCCATAAAGTCTATGACTGCATCCAGAAATGTGACCTGAAGCCGTTTTCCAACAGCAGGAAGCCCCATTTCAGCTCTGAGCCATCTTAGATGGACACAAAGACGGTGGACATCGAGGTCTGTGCTCAGATGAGTCCACCTTTCAGCTGTTATCGAATTCTACAATGATAAGTAATTTAACTGCATTATTTTTGTTGAAGCTTTATCAAAATATCCAAGCAACAATTACAAGTTTTCATGACATGTTAGAGCATTTCATCATACTCATAACAGAGCTGCAAGTTGATAATGTGTTATCACAAAAAAGCCATAGTAAAATCAAATAAAGAGGGCAACAAGGTCTGTTGAGCTCCTTCTGTGTTAATGTCTCCACAGTTAGCAAAGATGTGGTGAAGCTGCTCTTCTGTGGTGGGTGAGGAATCTTTCAGATGAAGGTTTTGGGTTTTGCAGCGTGCTGCTTTCAACGGTTTTCTTCCTTCAAGCAGCCGTTTCAGTGCAAAGGCTCAGCTGTTGATTTTATGGTGGGGCAAAACTTTCCAGGCAAACAACTGCTGCAACCATTTTGAAAGCTGTGCTGCAAGAGACTGAACGGAGTCCTGCAAGCCTCTGCAGGCCTGGAACACACGCACACACTCAGCAGTGAATCACACTGAGGTGTGAACAAGTCATCGCAGCACCGTGAGGAGAAAAGAGCCTCAAGGCAGGCGGACGAGGTGACACGAAAAACGCCCTCAAACGCACAGGTCTACACACAGGTTGGACGCTGGCCAGCTGGTGTCCTGGATTAGCTCGGATTAGCTTGTGTGTGTCTGTGTGAGTGTGATTAGCCAGAATAAATCCTCCCAGATTAAATGAGCCGCCGTCTTCAGTCCCCGTCATACGATCGTGCCAGCAGCCATGCAGTCAGTGTCCTGGTTGCCATAGAGACTGACACCCGATACTTCATCGGTTAACAGTCATCCAAATGTGTGTGTATGTGTGAAACAACCTGCTTGTTGTTCTTGATGTCAAGTTAAATTACAACAACTTTGTTTAAATGCATTAAAAAACAAAGAAACTACTGGAAATGCATTTCTTTTGAGCTGAATTCTTCATTTGTGGGCGGTTATTTATTCTTTCAAACATGAGTAAACATGAATGAAAATACACACTAAATAACAGAATATGCACATTTCTAGCAAGTTTTGCAAGTGCATCTCTGCCCTGAGCTCCTTCATCCTCCATCCTGAGGACTCTCCAGGACACTTCCAACAGCAGCTTTCCATCTTCTTGAAGGACGTCCCAAAAATCCTATTTTCTGTCTGTGTCATCTTCTGCATTTTCACACATCAGCAAAAGACATGGGAATAAATTATGTCTTTGTGACAACGAGCCTAAAGATCCGGTTTAAACTGCTTGTTTGCAAAGTTGCACACGATACTGGCTCATCCCTTGAGTTAGAGACCTTTTTCTGCCTAAATGATTTATAGGTCAGAGTTATGTGGCTTGGCAAAGAAAAACAACTTGGACTGGACAGAAAACTTGAGAGAAAAAACAAATCAGAAACCCTTGCTCAAGACCACTTTCATAGACTCCACAAAGGTTTGGCTGCTTGAAGGACGACTGTTATAAAATTTCGCACTAACAAAGATAATATTTAGACCTCTTATATGGTTTCGCACCATTCTTAAATCTACAGGCCAGACGGATGAGAGCAGGCGGCTGGTTACCTCGGACAGACTGGCCGATGCTGTACAGGTGTGTGATGTCGGGGTTGGAGGAGTTGACCTGGAGGAGGTACTGCTCGATCTCACGGTTGTTGTGATACCTGAAGTCTAACGTCCACGTGGAAACGATGAGAAAAAGGATGAGGAGGGATGATAACATCACTGCAGAGTGAGCTGGAAAAGAGAAACACAAACCAGACAGGTTTAAAAACCACAGAAGCAGAGTACAGAACCACCAATGACTTTTCTTCCTGAACTCATTAATCACTCGTTTGTTCACCGGTTGAATTGCCTCAATGTAACTGAGGGAAATCATAGTGGAACTTTGACCCGATTTTAAAATCTTTTATAGGAAGTCTGAGCTTTAACGGAGGCCCATGAAGCAGAACACGGGTCCTGCTGACGGTAGGTGTTGAAACAACAAACAAAAGAGCTGAATGTTGAGCATCAGGGTTCATTTGAACATTCGGTCCCTCTGCTTTGCATTTTGCAGCGTCAGCATGAGTTAGTCAGCAGAGATACGACATACTGTCCCGTCTCAAATACGCCTGTGAATCAAAAATGCATTTCAGACAGCTCCATGGAACAAAGAAACCTGGAGCGACTTCACCAGAGCGGCCTGATCTCTCACACCGGCTTCACACCACTGTTTCATGAGCCTCACATGAGCCTCCGAGCTTCCACACCAGGATGCAACTTTATACTTTATGACAAGATTTGCTCTTTTTGTTTTACAGGTCTATCTTAAAGTGGATGCAGCTCCACTTAGATGGAGCAAAGCAAATCGAATGGCAGATGTCAACAACGGGATGAAACTGTTTTTGCCAACACTGAATTTGATTATAAAACACCATTAAAAAGTAAGCAAATCTATTTAAAACCTCTTGAATATTTGGACTCTTCGGTTTTGTTTTTGTCATTTTTGTTTTTGTGGGCTGCCCGTATACCCAGTAAACTCTCTTTTAATAAAGCCATAAACCCTATAAATAAATAATTGCCTATAAATCGAAAGGCCGGACTATAAAACCGAGCAGGCTGAAATCAGTCCTGTGAAAAAAACAAAACATCCAGACTGGATAGATTTAGCAGATCTGCCATCAAGGATTATTTGTTAAGCAGTGGTACTGCAGTGCTCCTAACACCTCACATCCTTTTCACAGCCAAAAGTCTCACTCACGGAAGCCCGGGTGCTAAAGCTAACTGACCGCTGTTCATTCAGGATTACCCTGTTGTTCATTAACGGTAATACATTTAAAATAGAGTTGTTCCAGACAGCGTTAGAACACTTTGTCTCCAAAAAGCAGTGAAATGCAGAAGCCACATGCCATTTGGGATGCAGAGCAGCTATTTAGACAAAAGGTTGCTGGCAAGTGAGATCAGAGAGTTGATAGTTGCTGTTAAACTGCTAAGTGGAGAGAAAAGTATGACCCGAGGCACAATTGTTCTGTCTGCGAGTTCCATGACGGTATTAGTAAATGAGCTGTGGCGCCAAATTCCATCACTTAATCTCATGTGCTGCTGCTTCTCTTTTTCTCCTCATGTCAGCTTCTCTGCTCAGGAATTCAAACTCACGTGTAGAGATGTGGTTGCATTTTTTGGGGGGGATGCCTCCAGGAATGCCTTCAGTTTAAATGCTGGCTACCTCACGGCAGTCTCAATGCACGAGGCTGCACAAAGTAACAACCAGTTCTCTCACAGTTATATACAGTTTTAAAGCTACCAAAGGTGCATTCAGCAAAATGGAAAAACAAACTGACGCACCAGTGATGGAAACCTGCTGTGTGTCGGTTACGGCCTCTGCAGCTTTGTCCATACTTTGTGCACACACACAACTGTCTGATTTCCATTTCACTTCTGCTGCTTTTCAGCAAAAAATAAATAGAAAGAAGAGAAATCCCCATAATGAATTTCTCCTCTATTAGAACCAGTAATATCTAATGTTAAGCTTTAACTGCAATCTAACACTACAGAAGTGACTGAACTTTAAAACTACATGCTACTGGGTTTCCCAGTAAAAAGACCTTCGTTAGATACAATTTCAGACCTGAACCTGCCCTTCAGTTCCAGGTGGCTAAGACACATCGTTTTGTTTTGTGGGCTTTTTGTCATGGTCGAAATGAATTGATATATACATGGAGATTATTCTTTAAGACAGGAGTTACATCCAGGGACGGTTGGTGGAGCCGGAGAACAAAAACATTTTCAAATTTCTCTAAAAGGTATTTCAATAGTGAAAAAAGTTCTAATTTTAGATGGTAAAATACTCAGTCATTCCAAAACATGCAATGCCTCCTTTATCTGTTTATTCTAAATGACAAACCCTCCAACAGCCTCCTTTAAAATGTGGCAGGAGAAGGGGTTTGTGGTTGCCTTGATGAAAATGTATAAGAGTATAGTTCATGATATTATGTTTGATACAGTGGGTGTTTATTTTAGACCAGGAGCCTGCACGATAAAGCAAGTTAAATATAATTAACGCATATGGAGGTGATGTGCTTTAAGTAACTGACAGAGACAAGGCAGCATCCCTGTGCTTTTTGACACAGATGACCAGCCACAACAATCAGGAATTTGTAAGAGGATGGGAAATAAAACAGCTGAAGCAACCGAAATAGATATGGGGGAGAGCAAAAACAAGAAGAAGAATCCCAACAGTGAAATTCATGAATCTATGAGCTGGTCAGCATCACCTCCTGGCCATGAATTAGATCATCTTATTGGTTATTGCACCCAGTCAGTCCTATGCAGACATAAGCTGCTTCCAATAAACACATTGATTCCACTGGTACTAAAGAAATGACAAAAAAACAATCAGGTTTTGATATTAGCAGCCACACCTATAAAGAAGAGGGTAGCTCATTGTTTGTGTTGCACAATTTCAATAATCCTCATCGAAAATTAAAGGAAAATTAAAAACTGAATTCATGGAAAACTCATCCAGTACAGAAATGCAGTGTTTCACTGTCCAATAAAGACTGAAATGAAGCCTAATGATAATGAAACACTGTGATGAATATCAAAATACTTAAAGTCCTTGAGTGACTAATTAGTCCCAAAAATGTCATAACTATGGAGACATAGCTGACTTTTAGTTCTCCTTGCCTTATTACTGAGAAAAAACTACTTTTAAAAGTTCCCATTGTACTAATAAAAGCAAAAATGGAGACCTGACAGCTGGAAATGATAATAATTATTTAAAATAGACAAACTGACACGAATAAAAAACAGACAAATTGGATGTATGCCTCTATAGGTCTCCAAACGCCTCTAATGAGCACCTGCTTCATATCCGGTGAACGTTAACCGCGAAGCACGAGCCGTTCACACGAACATTTCAGGGACTGTGGGAATGTCTCGGTTTGCTCATTGACAGTCTATAAAGAGTCGGTAACAGTCGGTGGGGGCAGTGGGAAGGCCTACCTGTGCGCTGGCCGTGGGCTCCCGGAGACACTGGACACCGGCTCGGACCGGCGGACTGGCGGAGGGACGTTTAACCACGAGCCCGCATCTGCCCGACACTTCTGTCAATGAGCGCTTCTTATCCGCCGCCGGCCCCCCCCCGCCCTCGGACCCACAGGGGCGGAGCTTAGAGCACCCGGCGCCTGTGTGGGGCGTGCACGCGAATTGAATAGGTTTATGAATGAAACAGAGGCCGATTCATTCGGTCGCGAAAGAAAAAGGCTAGCGCAGTCTGCCCTTTGCGCCATTTCCAGACCTGCACCTGGGTGTCGGAAGAGCAAAGAACGGTGATGCGTTACAATTGGAATGAGCTGTCCGGATTAGTTGATTTATTATGTTAAAAAAAGAGTTTGTTGGAGGCTTTCTCGATGCAAATTTGAACCTGAATAACATGTTAATTAATGGACAACTTTTAAGTATCTTAATATTATTTGACACACCATGGACCTGATCTGAACAGCACAGTCCAGCATCAGTTAATCTCATCATTCTTTACCAAACATCCACCCTTTTGGCTAGACATTCATATTCAATGACAAAGTTGTGATTGTCAGGAGATGGTGTTAAATATCAAAACCTACCGATCTGATAGACTCACTTACCATCAATCCATCCATTTTCATACGTTTATTCCCACTGGAGTCGCGGGGGGGCTGGAGCCGGTCCCAGCTGAAGATGACCCTCCCTGGACAGGTCGCCAGTCCATTGTAGCCTAATTCCAGATAACATGTAAAGAAAGTATCACATGGAACTTTCTGAAGTCCATTCATTATATATTCTTCCTTAATCCAATTGGGGTCCATCCCACCTGGCTGTTGAGCTCCCCCCCCACTCTCCTGTACTGCCAATAGAGAGCCATTTCAACGGAACTCTGGTGAATTGAAAATGTTGAATTTAATAGGAAAAATGGGGACATAATCCATCATTGCATTTGTATAATAATACCTCAGCAGGCAGCCAGACTGACAGAGACTACCGGTGGGTAAATTCCTTCCTTTGGGTGGGAAAAGCCTGCGTCGTAAAGTGGATCACAGACAGTGTTTATAGATGCATAGCACAGATGGACAATCTTGGAAAAGATGATAATTGGAACCATCTTGTGCAATAAAAGTGCAATAAAAGACATTTGTGGAATATTTTAAAGTGTAAATACGATTTAGAATGCGTGAAGGGAACTAAAAACCAGTGTAAATAGCCATAAAAGCCAAGACTTAAGGGTGCTCACAGTGGAGAACATTCATGAAGCTGAATTATAAGAAGTAAATGGTTTACTTGAATTTCGTGTAGACTGTAGAAATTAATTTACGTTAGTTAATTTAGTTTTAATATTCCTAGACTCTGGTGAACATATCAGTGGTTCAGTTTCATGCCAAACAATCCTTGGATGTATGGATGCAGCCAGTATGAATCTACCAACTTAACAAAAAATAAAAAAAATAGGCCTCAGTGGTTCATCTTCTTTCTTTCTTCCTCTCCTCCCTCTGCTGCTGGCAGATATATACATGCATCCATTGGAAGGAGAAGCAGTTGTGTGATTCTGTTGGGCATCGATCAAACATCCAGAGTGGATGCACTTTTAAGCCTCAGGAACCCCATTGTGGGAGTACATCTAGAATAAGTTTAACAAAGTTCCTGGCAGTGTTTTCTTTGGGCGATTAATTAAGAAAATGTCAAGAAAAACAACACTTTGTAAACCCTACAACTCATCTAAGAAGACTACTGCTAAATCATAGCCAGCAAAAGTATATTATCTCACATAGCAGGACTTTAGGCACATTTTGAAAAGTCCACAGTTATCTCAAAGCGAAAAAGAGGAAACTTACAGCTCAGCGAGGCTGTAACTCCTACTGGAAAAAGCTGAAAGAAGTGGAAAACGGTTTAGAAAATATCACCACACCCCATGGGACAAAGGAACAAAGGAAATATGAAGGCATCTGAGGACTTTCATTGGTCCTTCAACGGACTTACATCCAAGAAGGACGAGTCCAGATATGCTGGCCTGAGTAAAGAGGATTTTTATGGAGGAGCGTCGACCTCCATAACGAGATGATGACGATTAACTGAGAGCCTAAAAATTACAGCCTAATTACAGAGATAAGAGCTTAATTACAGAGACTGAAGACAAAGACTCGGCATACTAGATGGGGGCAGAATTCACCAATAAGTGTCATTCATGCTGGAAAAGAATGATTGTGAGTTGGAATGGCAATGAAGGAGCAGCTTAAAGAAAATGTCTGACGTTTGACTTTTCTTTAAAACCTCATTAACGGTATTTAGTGTGTGTAATGATGTACGTTATGGTATCAGCTTTATTTGACTTGTAGAACAGGTTGTAGAAGTCCTTGGAGAGTTTGTGGGAGGCTTTACTAATGTTGTGGATTTTTAGGAAGGTGTAGACATCTTTAAGAAATAACTGAATGACCTCCTTTAAATAGCTGCTAAAAACTATACTTTTCCCAGAGTACCTCCTGTGATAAAAAACTTCTAACTAAACCTTTTTTCATTTCCTTCTTCTCCGCCCTCTCCCCCTTTTTGATCAGGGTTCCATCTCATTAACTACACTGAACCAACCCAAAGATCTGCTCTCTCCCTCTAGCTGACTCCTTATGTTGCAATTGTTTATTGGAAGTGTCCTTGCAAGTGGCTTTGGATAAAAGGGTTGACAAGTTGCTTTTACTGAGTCACATCACCATCTGCTGGCTGTAGCTGAAAAATGCAACACAGAAATATTTAAACAGAGCCTGAAATCCAGATGCAGATGAACTCTTTGTCCCAATAATATTTTAAATATGAAAAACTGGATTCTTCAAATCATGACATTCATGAAGTCCACATTGGGCGAAGGTGCATTTAGTACAGAGACTTTTCTGATGAGAGATTAAACCATTGAAATGTTTTAAAAGGAATTCCTTGTGGAGTTTTTAGGACTGCTTAAAAGAGTATCGCTGGTCATTTTGAAGGTCATGAGCATTGTAGAAGAAACTGAAGAATTTTGACAAAGGTTGTGTTGTGATTATTATGGTAGTCTCTTAAGACGTTAACACTGGGTATGGGAAGTCTTGGGAAAGGTTTTAGGGGTCCTAATTGAATCTCTTAGGGCTTTGAAGGGCCTGTTAGGATTTGGTTATAAATACACACTTTAGCATTGTTTGCTATCACATGATCTATGCATATTATTGATTGTTTCATTTTATATTATACCTATAGTTTGTATTGAAGTTTCTGGCTGTAACCACAGATTCACTTTGTTCTCTCTTTTCTTTCTATCCTTTTTCTCTGTTGCAACAGATCCACGTCTTTAAGTCAACACATACACACACCATTTGGTACCACATTCCAATGTCATCAACATGAATTTACGATCTGGCTTGTTAGTCTTAGAGGTAACTAACCAATAGGACTTGGTTGTGTCCAGTCCTCCTTTTGAGGGGTGTGCCTAGCCAAGGAGACAAAGACCCATCACACCCAGATCTCAGAGCTCTTTGCCGACTAAGACCCTGAGAGAGAGGTTTCCTCTGTGAAGAGCCCAGCGCTGAAATACTTTACCTGTGACCCAATAAATGTCATTTTTTACTCTTGATATACTCTGGTTTATTCTCAGGTTTCGAACTAAAGAATCGGGTTAACAGGCCCACAGGAATAATTTAGGGGTTTATATTACACAAAAGTATCCTGATAACTTCATGGATCTTGCTGGATCTATGGGGATCTACATGCCTCTGCTAGATATTCTGCAAACGCAGGAAAAGTCAAGAAGTTGCGGCTCTTGAAGGTGATTGCAGGATGCTTAAAGTTGAAGGAGACCAACACTGATGTCTACAGGTCAGTTGGTGGACTGCTTTCTGAGGGGTTACCATGACTACTCACGGATGTTGTAGGAACCCCTGACTTCCTTTACGAAGCTACGTGGATTCTTTAAAATGTGTTGTGATCACCATTCATTTGGTGTTCACAGCCAAAAGGTTCTAGCTCGAAGTTTGATCGGATATGCTTGATAACAAGGATCAGTCAGCACAAACATCTCTTTTCTTCTCCGTCGGTAGGCAGAGAGGATCATTCTGGTGTGTGATTCACTCTGTCAGGTTTGGTTTTTGGCTTTTTCAGCATATGCTCCCATTAAAGCGAACAGACAGCACTGCGGCTGTTTGAACATTCTCCGTCTCGCGCACTAAGGTAATAATGTTGCAGTAATTGCGGCTAGGGGGGCAGAACGGGCTGACTGACAGCTTATTTAATCAGACACGGTCAAGAAGATGAGAAGCACGCTTTTGAAACAGGAAGTTAATGAAGCTGGAGAGATGAGCGACACATACAACAACACTGATTCGATCATCTGTCCCTCTGTAATGGAAACCTCGTTGAGCGGAAAGAGTGATGCTGATTCACCTCTTTTTTCAAAAACCACCACAGTGAAAAATATCCTCAGTTTAACTCTTAAAGGTGATAGCTTGCTCAACTAGGTGAAATCTAATTTCGTTACGTGGCTCAGACTGTGACAACATCCTTAATGAGGATGGAGCCGTCTTTGAAAAAGTGCTCGATGCTTTTAAAAAAAAAGCATCAGCAAAGACTGGGCAAAATTCTGTGTAAATTCTTACAGTCAGCATTTGCATGTGACAAGAAAACCAAATTATTATGTCAAACTTAAACAAGATTTAAAATGCATGTGAACATGTTAGACCAATCAAATCATAGCAAGTCAAAGCTGTAAAAGTGGAATGAATGGATGTACCGTTTGAGGTTTAATAACTGAAGAGACTTCATGGGCCTGGGTGCACAACATATGATCTAAGGGACACGTGCATTTCAGAGGAGGCACACAGCCACTGAGACCACATCAGTCATGTATTTTCCCAAGAATGTGAGAGAAATTGTGACTTATTATAAGCCCAGCAAGACACTGCCATTTAAAGTATTTACAAACTGTCCCTCTGCTCTAGTAATAATGACCACAGTGAGGCAATTTCACAATTCATGTATGTGAAAGACAATATCTGTGCAGTTTATTCGGCTGTACCTACATGAGCCATGATCTCCCGCAGAGAGGACCCTCCAAAGCGCCCTTGTTCCTGGTTCCTGAGGTCAGCACGCAGCTTAGACAAGGCAAGTAGATCAACTCCACTTTAAAGAAGTCTCCTGAAGTTGACAGAAAGAAGCCAGCGTCTCCTGCTGAGTCATGTTTCTTAAACGGCAACATGGAGATGAATCTAGCTCTGTGCGACTGCTTCTGTCATGCAGTGAAATATTTATGTTACAAAGTAGCAAAATGATGAGCTGAAAGAGTGGGGAAAAAAAGTTAATCTTCCTTAGATAAGACTCAGCGGCATTCAGAATTTGAGGAAATCTGACAAATTTCCATAATCTGCCTCACATCCTCACAAAAACACTCATCTCCATTTCCATCGTCCACCAGGGCTGTGACACATTAACATAATTCATGCAGTTTGCATTCTGTTTCTATCAAACCAAAGCTGCTGTGGTGTTGATGCACAATACTTTCAGCTTAAGTATTGTTTGCTCTACTGAACACGACAATTAAGCTGTCGGGTCAGAAAATGATAAAAAAGATTTCACTTACATTTAGTGATAAAGTCTGACCTCCCCTGCAGAAAGCATTCCTGAAAAATATACAAAACTCACATAAAAGATGCAATGCAAATTAGAAAAATAACAATTGTCATACAGAAATTTTTACTTTTCATCACACACTTTAATTGTGACCTGAAAAAATTACACTCTGGAGCACTGACAACTTCTCTGGTTTCTTCTTAGGCTTTTAATAAAGAACCGGGGCTAACAATACCCAAAGTCCATCCGTCCATCCATTATCGTAACCGCCTATTCCCTAATGGGGTCCCAGGGAATACCCAAAGTAATATTAAATGAAAAGATGAATCAATACATCAATTAATGACAGCCTTGGTCACTTTTGATTACTCAATAGTTTCTCTCACTATCGTGTCAAAGTACTTAACTGTAGGTGTCCAATCTCACCATCTATCTCTATTCTTATGAATTTTTAAAAGCCATCTAAACTATTTTCTTTGTAGTAATAACACCATTTTTTGTTATCCGTAACATCAGGGAACTTTGAGTAAATGTAGAGAATGAAGTCTTTCAGGCTGAATACGGGGTGCCTATATATTTCTGGGGGAACATATGAATGTGTATGACTGAGTAATAAAAACATGACAGTGCAACCTGTAAAAATGTACAGACAAAGTAAGTGTAGGTGTGTAAGTAGATAAAAGAGTATATGTGGCATGTGTAAAAGTGATTTATGTAGTTTGTGCACTATAAATAGAATCCACTTTCCATTTCCCAGTTAAACTGGAAGACAAAGATTTGCAGCTTTCATGACTTTTCCAGTTACTGATTGAAAAAAAAAGGGTTTCAGATGCTTGAATACTCCACTATGTTCAGTTCAAAACAGTTCAAAACACAGGAGCTAGACTCATTTATCAAACAAAAGGACTCACCACAATACCCGTGTACTCAGCACTCAACCCTGACTCCCTGTTAGATCTGACCTTGATTCCAAATTCTAACTGTTCATCTTCAGAGTAGCAAACAGCCTTTCCCCCAAATAGCACTCAGATTTATTGACCTCGTACATGCCTCATGACTTTCGGAATCAGCAGATGTAGTTTTATAACCACAGATCTAACAAAAATAAATTGTACCATTTTAACTGGAGCATTCATTGTGTTCTTTTGGCTTCCTGCTGAAGCAATAACTTAAGTGTCCATATTGGACATGTTGTCTACGGAGAGTACAGAGCTGTGCAGGGAATCTGGTTGATCAATAAGATAATCAAACTCTGCTCTGTAAACCAGTGTTGTGATTTTAAAAAGCAATGCTCACGGTGTGAAGGCAATTTTTTATGGCTGCTTGGTCTTAAGTCTATTATTTGAACACACATTCAGTCTGCGCTGGTAGTCCAAACTACAAAAAAAACAAAGACGCTTGCTTGTTTTCCCTTTAATCTGTAAGGCTAAGTGTGATTCTGAGTGCATTTTTGTCTTTTAAGTGTTTGTTTTTGATTCAATAGCGGCCGATATGTAGAGTGACTCTGAAGCCCTTGACTCTACTTCATCTCGATGTTGTGTGTGTGCATAAGTGTTCGGGGTTTAACTCGGTTTATTACCCTGTGAGGTTCTAAAACCTGAGCTGACATAAACGAGAGAGACTAAAAGGGGAAAAAAAGTATCTCTCTCGTTGTGGCAGCCATGGCAACAAAAACAGGCTTTTCAGCGTCTGTTAATATCTTCTACGTGACTCCGTTCCCTGGAGCAAAGCAATCTCAGACATGGAATTAAAAGTAAACACGAGAAACTTGTGCTACAAAGAAATGAACCAGGCTAAGTCAATATTTCCCTAAATTAAACAACTGAACTTCTAATACTATGATCCCTATGTAGACCAGTGAGCTGTGCTGACCAACACAGCATTGGGGTCATCCGATGGGAACCTCCCTTCATCAGTGTGTTATCTAGCTCGGCCCAGGGCAGGTCCAGGAGGATGGACAGTGACCACTGGTATCCTGCCCCTCCTCACACCACTACAACCACCTCTTATTCCACAAACAGCATCATTATCAGCAACCACAGCTTCTCACCAACTGGTGGGGATACAAAGCCTGGTTTGGGTTAGGGGTAGAAAATGGAAGAGGTAAAGATAAGTAGGAAGGTATTCAAACCCTGGTTTGTGTAGGATGTACCTTGAAACATATCTTCTGCATATTGCTTCTACTGGACAAATTTTGACTTTCCATCGTCGCTGCTCTGAAACCCAAACATTGAAGGCGACTCGCTGAAGGTTCTGGAGGGAACCTGAAGGCTTTGTCAAACTCCAAACAATCCAAAGTCCAAACTGTCAATCAAAAACTGTGAAAACAAACATAATTGCCAAAGGGAGAAGGACAGACAGGATGATAGCACACATTTAGGACTGTGTTGTGAGACACAGGTGGGAAGAACAAAACATTGGGATATCAGGAATTACATGGCATAGACAGGAAGCAAAACAAACAAAGCAGGACAGAAGACAAATATTGTCTTCATGCATTATTTACTTAAAAAGCTGCAAATATTTTCTGGGCTAATGATTTGACTTTGACAAACATTAAAAGTTGATGCTCTAAAGCTAATTAGATTGTTGTACTTCAACTCATTTATTCCTCTGTTTTATTAGAAAAAAAAAGATTAATTTAACTGAATGATATTTTCTAAACTGGGAAACAAACGCTTCCCACTACTTCCTCACCTATCGGCAATTACACATTTGTTGTTGATCATTGTCAACTCAGACATGCCATGTCTTTATTTCACACATACACTTACAAAGAAATCCCTGAAAAGGTCCATACTTACAGTTTTAGATCCACTGTCAGCCGAATGTGTCAAATTAGTGAAAAACACTGATTCAATGTCTGAATGCAGGTTTTTTTTGTTATATCTGTCTGATTTAATGTAAATAAATAGCTTTTTTGCCGTAGAAAAATTCAGCTGAAAATAATTTAATTTAGCTTCTAACTGACTGACAATGCATTTATTAATCTGTTGGATAAATTCAATGCTAAAGCTAAAAAAACAAAAACAGTAAACATTTAATTTCAAAGAATTCATGAGTTCGACATTCATTTTAGAGAAAAACATAAACACAACAAATAAAAAGTCATGTAAAACAGAGGTCCATAAGACAGGTGGAGCAGTCGGTCCAGAGTGGACAGATACATTTAACCTGGTTCAGCTGTCCACTGACAGAAAATTCAAAAGCTGAAAACCACCAAAAACATCAAAGTAAATGGATGAATAACAAAAAAAAAGACCCAAACAAAGAAACCCCTAATCAGAAGTGATGGAACTCCCTCCTCTCTGCCTTTAATGAGTGGCTTTGGTGTCGTGCTGTAATGAGAGGTGTGTGAGACAGAAAATGAAATCTTTCTATTCTCCTGCTGTCACGCTGCGGTAGGCCTGTGCGAGAGAGGCAGATATTACCATATCAATGGCTTCCCCCTGATAGCTTTCACCCACCTCTTCCCTCCTGTTCTGCCGGGACGTAATTGTGGATGATTATTAGAGAAGCTCACAAGCGCACCCACACACACGTGCACGCAGATCGTATGAGTCAATGCAGGTAGAACCCCGGCCGTGGAGGAGAGAACTAAATAAATTGGCTCACTGAGCAGAGATCTGAAATAAACAGACACACCTGCAATATCCTTTTATGGAACTTTGAGGGCAGCAACAGGGTGAACACAACGCTGAGTAGCACTGACATGCTGATATTTGATGTGACGTTTACAGAGCAACAATATCATCCATATGGAGCCAGCTTTTTTTGTCTACCCGATAAAAGTAAGTTAAATAGTCATTCTATTTCCTCCTGCAGTGAATCCATCAATGCAGTTGCAAAAGACTAGAAAAAGACTACAACAGAACAACCACAAAGAGATGATAGAATGTAAAAAAGGAACTGAACGCCTCCTTAAAGTCAACCATGGGGATCTAATATCTTCACATCACTTTGAAGCAGTACAGGTCGCATAAAATGTATAGAATTCCAGTCTCAGCAAACGTGAAGGGTTAAAAATAAATAGTTTTAGGTATTAACAGTGCACCAATTTACAACAAAAATCCAATCTAACTATATTTCAATAAAATCAAATGCATTCAAATCAAAATAGACACCACTAAATCATGTGTTCAACGTGCTTTAGGCAAAAGAAGAGAGGAAAAACAATGCCACTCAGTGAGGGAAGAGAGCAGAGGGAGGAGAGGTGCATCATGGGAGCCCCCCAGCAGTCTGGGCCTATAGGAGCACAACTGTGGGGGGTTTTAGAGTCATGAAACACCCCTAACTATCACTAACTAGACTCAGAGGAACCTGATAACTGAAGGCTCTGCCCCCCATGCTGCTTTTACAAACTCAGGACCCGGGACAGAGCAATAATATAGAATTACAGCACTCCAATCCTGGAGGAACTAATTCATGGAGCAGTTTTACTGCATCCCTCTGAGACAGGATGCTTCCAATCCGCTTAGAGAATATATTGGTTTAAAGATAGATGATCTGTGTTATATCGATATAAAATGATTTT